TGGATGGATGGATGGATGGATGGATAGATAGATAGATAGATAGATAGATAGATAGATAGATAGATAGATAGATAGATAGATAGATAGATAGATAGATAATAAATGAGCCAGCTGTGGGGCAGGCAGGAAGGCAGACAGATAGATAGAATGAATAAATAAAAAATTCGCCTTGGGGCAGCTATAACTTGGGAGAGGTGGCAGGCTGACACTTGCCCAAAGCTTCAGAGAGTGAAGGTAAGTCTGTGAGAGGAGACAGACTAGAGACGGTCAAACTACGACAGGAGTCTTGAGGAAAGGATTCAGGACTGACCTCCTGTAGAGGACAGGGATTCCACCTTGAAGTCTGAGGTCTTAGGAAGAGTGATAATCAGTTTATCCGTTAGTTCTTTTGTCCTTCCTCTTGATGTTCTTGCCAAGGCTCTCCTCTTAGACTGGGTTATCCTGCCTTAGGGTATTGGTGCATGTGTGTTGGTTTTGTGTGCAGTGAGGTCCAGGCTCGTTTTTTGTGTGTGGACTGTGAGTATCTCTAACACAGGGTGTTAACAACTGGCTATTCCTTCTCATTGTCAAAAAGCAGTTTGCCACAGAAGTTAGGCTTGCTTTGAGATCCTTGGTTCTGCTCCACTGGTCTGTGCACCCATCTCATGCAGGTCCACACTAGGGTCGGACTCTATAGTGGGTTTTGAAGTCTGCAAGTGAGTCTCCAGCTTTAGTTTCTTTTTCTCCTTTGCATTTCTCATTGCTTTCATTTGCATTTTCTGAGGACAGTGGTGTGGGGGGTTGTTGTTCCTACTGTTCTTGTTTGCCTGTTTGTTTAGTAGGGGGTGTTGACACAGGATCTTGCCTCAGACTCAAAGAGATCCACCTGCCTATGCTTCCTAAAAGCACAGATTATAGACATGCACACCACACCCAGCAAGTTATTTTTAAAGAAGACTAAAGTGAGTGGCAGAATTGGGGGTACAGTAATGTGCACCTTAGTAGTAGAGCCCTTGCCTAGCACACAAAACCCTAGATTCTATCCTCAACAACACAGACACACAAAGGTGGACCAGTCTATCACAGAGACCAGCAAACTACAGCCTGAGGGATAAATGTCATGTGGCTTATTTTACTATGCCTTCCCCCAGCTAAGAAAAATAATATGTAGTAGAGAAAACTATTTGTAGCCCACAAAATCTAGAATAACTGGCACCTGGTGTAGATGTAACCAACCGTCTTATTAAATAAGAAACACAGAAACAATGTAAAAGAGAAAGCCGAGAGGTCAGAGCTCAGAGCTAAAATCTCACCCTTCCTCCTGCTGTCCCAGCTTCGTGAAAGAGGGCTACTTCCTGTCTGTACGCCTTTTTTTTATAGTATTATTGTTCTGCCTTCTCATTGGTTGTAAACCCAAACATGTGACGGCCTCGTCACTGTCTGAATGTACAGCCCCCTAGGTCTTAAAGGCATATGTCTCCAATGCTGACTATATCCCTGAACACACAGAGATCTATGGGATTAAAGGCGTGTGCCACCACCGCCACACTCTTGCTATGGCTCTAATAGCTCTGACCCCCGGACAACTTTATTTATTAACATACAATCAAAATCACATTTCAGTACAATTAGATTACCACCACAACCTGGTTCTTTATCAAAGATCTTTCTTGATCAGATATAAAGATGGATTTTTAAATATCTTTAATAACCAAGGCAGCAGGGGTATGGATGGAGATGAAGATAAGCAGAACTTTGTGATCTCATCCACTTCCAAACAGATCAGAAACTGAAATATGAAGAGCAGAACCATAGGCCTTCAGGAGGAGTTCTCTTAACACACACACACACACACACACACACACACACACACTGCCTCTCCCCCTCATTTTGAGACAAAGTCCTGCTCAAAAGCCCAGGCTAGCCTGTAACTCTTGGTAGTCTTCTGGGTACTAGGATTGCGGTGTGTGCCACAACAGCTGGCCTGGAAGACTTTCAAAAGGCTAGTCCAGACAGGCATGGTATTGCACACTTATAATCCCAGCACTCAAGAGGTAGACACAGCAGAATCAGGAGTTCAAGACTAGCCTCACCTGCGTAAGAAGTTGGAGGTCAGCCTAGGCTATATAAGACCCTGTCTCAAACAAACATGCAAGTCCAAGAGGGAAAGATTAGTAAGTTAAGTACCATTAAGTCAAGCCCTCTGTGCCTTCAGAGGCACCACCAGCCATGGAAGTGAAATTGTTTGCAACTGTAAGCTCGGGTGCAAGTGCCCAGGCCATTTCTGGAACTTCTCACTGTATCTTCAAGAGACAAACAGCTTACTAGGGAAATGAGGTAAAGCCTCGAACATGGACCTACTGGACCTGCAGACACTGAGACATCTGATTCTGAAATGCAGCAGGGATATGACATGGCTGGAGCTCTCAACACCGCTGCTGACAGGAAGGCAAACCAGTGCACCCAGTCTAGAGAACAGATTGTGTAGTTACTAAAGTGAGGATATGTGCTCCCTAGAGGATTCACAGTGGCATTATTTAATAGTCACAAACAACCCAGATGCTCCTTGGAAGTAAAGTTGGGAGCTAAAGGTTTTTATTTGTGACAGTGAGGTCACCGTGCAGTGAATCCCACAAATGATCCAGTGCTTAACCACACATACATTCATACATTTCATATGTATTTCCCATGGCTTCCCTTTTTTTTTTTTTGTTTTGTTGTTGTTGTTGTTGTTGTTGTTGTTGTTGTTGTTTTGAGACAGTCTCATGTAGTCCAGGCTGCCCTTGACTTCTTTATCCTCCTGCATCCTAAATGCTGGGATTTCAAGTGTGCCCCACTACAACCAGTGGTGTTGGGTGTGGAGTCAGGGCTTACCAAACAAGCACTCTGCCTACCTGAGCCCCAGTCTAAACTTCATATAGTACAACTTGACTGCACTCCAAATTTAACCACACTGTGGGACAATTTAGAACTGGATGTGAGAAAGGCACACATACACACATGCCTATAATCTCAATGCTGGGGATGTAGACAGTGTCCCAGGACCAGCAGCCTATGGGTGATAATGTAAATAAAGAATCTAAATAAATAAGTGAACATGATCATCCTCTGGCCTTCACACAGACACACACAGACACACACACACACACACACATACACACACACACAACTACACAAAAGTAATAAGAAATATCCCCAGTGTTGGCATAAGTTACTTTTTAGTGAAGTCAGGGTTTTATGAGGCCGCACTGGGGTTCCAGTCACGTCTCACTTGATAGTTTGTTTAGACAAGTTCTCACTATGTAGCCCTGGCTGGCCTGTGCCTCTGGAATGCTGGGATTGAAGGTCCAGCACCTCCCCTGGCCCTGTGAGTGCCATTGTGTCAGTTGTACTTTTATGTGCTTTCTCTGTCTGTCTGTAATTGACTGTGGTAAGAATTGAAAGGGAAGCAGTGGCTGAATATGCAAAGCCTTTTGTAAGGAGGTGAGTTGTGTTGTTTATCAAAGGAAAAGCAAACAGAAAGGAAGTAACCCAAACACTCACTAGGAGCTGGGCAGCCAGACTAGAGCTCTGACCTCTTGAGCACTGTGTAAGGGCCAGGAAAGCTGAGGAGTCTGAGTGCTGATGTGGCAGGAAGTCCTGGTCCTGCAAGTGAGAAAGCACAACATATCTGTCTATCCTGTCACCAAAGAGAGGCACATATGCCTGGGACATAGATGAGTAAAGCCTAGTATGGCCAGACCACCTCCATTCCCATTTTTGTTTTGTATCCCTCAGCCACAAAATGGTACACTCGCTGAGTTACCTGCTGACACAATAATAGCCAGTTGCCCAGGCTGATCTTCAGCTCTCTGGGGCTCGAATGATTTTCCTGCCTTGGTCGCTGAATGAGCTGGGAATATAGATGTGCACTGCCATACCCAGCTCTAAATTATTTTTATTATATTTATTTATTATTTGTGTGTATGTGTTCATGTATTACTGAGTGCATGTGTTGGCCAGAGGACAATTTATTGAGCTCAGTTCTCTCCTATGCTGGTATGGGGAATCAAACTCAGGTCATTAGACTTGGTGACAAGTACCTTTACCTTACTCACTCAGACATCTCATCAGTCCCGAAATTATATTTATTTTTAATTGTGCTGAAAACATATTATTTTTATAATCATAAAAGCCATGAGACATTTTAAGAACAGACTGTAAAACTCAGACCCTGCAGAAGCATGTTTTATGAAGTCCGTGTAGCATTTAGGTAAGCAGACTTCGGGTTAGCTCTCTTTGACTAGCTGTAATGTGCTGTGTGAAAGGCCTGCCTCCTATCGCCCAATTCAGCAGGGAGTGGGTAAAGCCTGTGCCCTCCAACTCTGTTGCCTGTCATTGAAGCCACCATTGCCTGGCTGTGTGGGGTAGCAGTCTCTCTCAGGTAGATTCTGGGAGATACAGGCTTGTCTACCACCACCTCAGGATCCGTCCTTCAGAATTCCCATTGGGCTCTACCCTGGGAGGTAAATTCCGGAAAGAAGGCTGCCCAGTGAGTGCAGGAGTTGAGGAGCCTGTAGTGGGGCCCTGCTTCAGCCTGTGTTCCTCACAGCTCCATGAGAAGGAAGCTCTAGGTCAGAACACCAGGAGGAAACAGGGCTTCGTCCTTGTGGGGAGGTTAAAGATGATTCTCCAAAGAAGTGGAAGGGAGGGACACTGTCCACTGTCCTTACTAAAGCCCGAGTAATAATCACTTCCGTAAAGCAAGGTCTGCCCTGATCTGGCCATCCTTAGGATGGTGAGATGATGGGTTTATTGGCTCGTAGTGCCCTTTGTCTTTGTTCTTCATCTTTTATGTTTGTTTGTTTTATTTTTTTCATTTGTTTTGTTTTGTTTTATTTGTTTTACATCCCAACCACAGTTTCCCCTCCCACCTTCCCTCCCATTCTCTAATCTTCTTTTTTTAAATGTAGTGAAATGTACCTTTTTGTTTCTGCAGTCCCTTGCCATCAGCCCTTCTAACAGAACAGCCTTACAAAGTACAGGTCAAATTTGTGGCCCTATTGTGTGCACGCCTCTGCTGGTGGGGCCTTGGTGAATGCCAGTGGATGTCACCATCTACCATGAATCTCAAGAGGTTGGAAAGGGGAAAGTGTCATACTCAGACCAGCTCAGAATCTTGTTGGAGCCAGGGAGGTGCACATGTGCCACTGTGCACTTGCAAAGGTCAGAGGACAACTTTAGGAGTCAGTTCTCTTTGCATTGCGAGTTCAGGAACTCAAACTCAGGGCATTAGATTGTCCCACGGCACTTTCACTCACTGATTCACCTCACCAGCTCTACTCTCCACCTCATTATTTGCAACAAGGTCTCTCATTGAGTTTGGGTTACACTGGCTAGCTAGCCAGTCCTGGGATCTGCCTATCTCCACCCCCTAGTGCTGGGGTTTCTACCAATGATGGCCACCATGACCAACTTTTCATGTGGATATTGGAGATCAGAATCCAAGTCTTAATGTTTGCATAGGAAGCACTTTACTGCTGAACCATCTCCCTAGCTACCCTCCCCACATGGGTGCCCTTCCATTTTCTGTGGTACCGTGAACATGAGTATCCATCCCTGGATGTCCATCTCACATTCCAGCTCCTGTTCCCCGTGAGGACTCTGCCACAGTCACTGCATTTGTCTCTCTTGCTGGCAGACAGTGCATTGCCACCACGTTAGCTGTCCAGACCTTCTCAGAGTAGTTTGGGCACTCTGCCCTGGATCACCTCCAGGGAACAGAGTTGGGACTCAGCGTATCTATGGGATGCTCCTTGGGTATTTCTGATGCCCTGGTCCCTACCATGCCTGCCTGTTTGGAAATCTGCTGTAGTTCCCAGACATAATGGTAGCTGCCCTTCCTAGGAAAACCCACCACTTAGAACAAGCTATCTAATATAGTAAGCCATTTGGTACCCAGGCTTCTTCAAATGCATAAGGACGAGGAAGTTCTGTTTCCCTGCTGTGTTTATTAATAAGGCTAGCAGAGGCCTCCAGTCAAGCCACTAGGCACAGGGGTCCTAAGCTCTGGTGACTCAGAGGATTGGAAATCAATCCCTTAAACTGTGTCTCCCATTTTAAGCTCCCATTTTCATGGTGTTGGCCTTGAACTCATGATCTTCTTGCCGCCCTGATGCCAAAAGGGCATGGTAAAGTCAAAGCTGAATCCAGAGTTAGAATTATAGGTATGTGCCACCTTTGGACCCTCAAGCCTTGGTTCTCACATGTGTTCCACCTCTGTTGCTCTTTATCCAAAATGATCTTCATGTCCCATCACTTAAATCTCTTGTCTCCCAAGGCAGCTCAAGCTGACTCTTTCTCATTTCAGTCCACTCTGTGGTGACATTTCAGTGAGATTAGGCTGTGGAATAGAAGGCGGTGTTCTGCCCTGCCTGTCTGTATAATCCCAGCACTCTAGAGACCGAGGTAGGGTGCAAGTTTGAGGCCAGCGTGGGCTAGAGAGCAAGATGTTGTCGAGGAATCCCAGTAGTAGAAAAGGGCAGTGTCCATTAGAATAAAACTTAGGCACCTAAGAAATGGATTAGAGGGGAACTTGTTTTATGTGTTTAGAAAGCTAAATGACAGGCTGGAGGGATGGCTCAGCTGCTCTTCCGGAAGACCCAGGTTCAATTCCTAGTACTCACCTGAGAGCTCATAATCAGCTGTAACTTCAGTCCCAGGGGATCCAACAACTGCTTCTGGCCTCTGGCACCAGGCACGCCTGTGGTGCACGGACATACACACTGGCAAAACACCCATACATGCAAAATAAAAATACAGGGAAATTTTTTAAAGAAAAGGAAAACTAAATGAAAACCATTTGCATGTGGCAGCTCCTACGTTCTGCACCTTGAGCTCTGTCCTTTTGTTTTAGCCGTCTGGTTTACTGATGCCATCCCTTCTCTTGTACTCTGGTGAGAAAGTCCAAACTGCTGACAAATCCTCCAGGATGACTTAAGAACACAAGGCACAGGCCCCTCTGCTTGTTCTTCTGATCTTCACCTTTAATTGGATATTTGAGTCAGAAGAGGGGTGTTGCGCTCACAGAGCACCCATTATTCTCTGCCCACTCAGTCGTTTGGCAGATCCTGTACTGAGTTTTTTGCCGTCAGCCTGGCAAAAACAGTAGTTCCCCCTCCTGCCCTTAAACTTGAACACAAATGGCTATAGATGTCAAAGGCTGAGGTTTGAAAGAGTCACTTGGGCTCCTGGGACCCAAATGCTTTCATTTAAGGAAAGGTCATTTTCTTCATGACACAGTAGATTATTGCTTTCCAGTGCACCTACCTCAGCACGCACCCAGCCTGGACAGGCATTTGACATAATTAATGCTTCTTAAGTCTCCAAGGACTTCACCCACTAAGAGGAGAGGGCTGAAGCCAGTCCGGCTGTAATCAGTCTCTGCAGGACCCACTGGCACATGCTGGCAGGGAGGGGAGAGGCCCCAAGGCTGCCCTGTAAACCACCAGGGTTTTCTTAGAATCAAAGAAAACCCAAGTACACTCAAGTGGAGTCCAGCACATGGATCAGACCATGGCCTTGATCAGGCCAGCTGACAGGCACTGAATCCCTAAGCTGTGGCACAGCGACATGGCAAACCCTGCCGCCCTGATGCCAAAAGGGAATGGTAAAGTCAAAGCTGAATCCCATTGTAGTCAGTTGTGAAAAGTGTTTTGGGATGGTATGGAAGAGTCACACTCCTGAGCCAATAACCTCCACACAGCATCTCAGCTATCGAGGGCATTAGGACAGTCCCAGGAACCTAAACTCTTCTGGAAGATGCCAGTGCTGCAGCCTCAAGGAGCCTTCTAGAAAGTGCAGGCTAGCCTCCCTGGAGGAAAGGTGGTACTCATGCTTCAGGCATCTTCATGGGAGAGCTGGATCTGTGACCAGCAGTCAAGTGATGTTCTGTCCAGTAGTCCCTGGGGCAGCAGTTCAGGACAGTGTGTGTGCCTCTCCACAGAACGTGCTAGCAGCCTTGCTTAGGGGGCCCTGCTGGCCAGGGGAGGAAGCCCTGGGTTGGGTAGGAAAGCCACTCTAAAGGCACATTCCCTGGATGTTCCAGGCTTTCTCCTTATCTGGTTTGGGAGCTTAGAAGGCATTCAGTCCACTCCTGTTTGGAAGCACTGTCCAGTGTTTCTTGGTTGTTTTTATGCTAATGTTCATGAAGGCACAATGTCTCCATTGTCATTTCTTGGGTTTTGGCTTTTTGTTTTGAGGTAATTTCAGGCCTGGAGAAAGGCTACAAGAGTTGTTCTGAGAGCTTCCATCTGCTGCTGTTTGGGCCCACTCTCCTTCTTTCTCCCTCCCCCTTCCTCCTCCCTCCCCTCTTCCCTTCTTTCCCTTGTCATATTTTCTCAGCGATGTTTTCTAACCCTTGCAGCCTCCTACCACAGAGCTGTAAGGAATGGATTATCTTGATAAACTTCCAACAAGCAACAGGTTTTAATAATTTTACCATGATTCTCCTTTCTCATGAGACACATTCTACATGTGGCTTTTTTCTCTCCCTCCCTCCTACCCCTTTATTTCTCCTCTGAGCTTGTCTCACTCCAAAGCCCAGGCTGGCCTTGAACCCCTGGGTGTCATTTGGCCTGGCCAGGATTACAGGCTGAGCCACCACACCTGGCTCTCTGACTTCATTTAGGGAGTCTTAATCTTACATGCAGAAGGATTCCATGGAGTTGGAAAGTTGGCTCAGTGGTTTAGAGCACTTGCTGCTCTTGTAGAGGACCCTGGTTCTCTATGGGTCAGGCCTCATTTCCTCCCTGCCTCCAGGAAATGGATTCCGCTTCAGGAACCCCCACTGGAGCAGCACCGGCCCAGCTCTCCCCATCTTCCTTCCCAGAGGCCAGCCGCTCTGCTCTGAGGGCCTTTGAAGGGAACTTGCTGGAGCTTGTAGTTCCATTTAGGGCTCTTACCCAGTTTCCTTTTAATTGACATGCGGGGTCTGTTTAACTTCCTGCTGCTATTTTGTCAAATAGCTGTGGTTTAATAAAGATGCACACAGCCTGTAACAGACTGTGTAATTGGAGCGTTCTGCCCTGCAAGCTGAGGCTCTGAAATAGATCTTAGCCCTGAACCCGCTCTGAGCTACTCAGGATTATTAAACGGAGATGATTAATCCTCCTTGCAAGCAAGGCAAGAGCTGGCTTAAGTAAATAAGCTGGCTTTGTGGAAACTTGGTTCTTTTTATGCAGTTTTTTTTAAGTGTATAATTCAAGGACTTTCAGTAAATTTCCCCTAGTTGTGCAAACATCACCCTAAACCCATTTTTAAAACATTTCCATCACACCAGTGAGATCCATCACGCCCATCCACACTGGCCCCAGCTCCCAACCTAGACAGTTGCTTGGCCATTCCTGCCTGCAGACTTCCTGGGTATTTCCTGTAAATGCAGTCATACAATCGCTGGCTTCTTTTTTGTTGTTTTATTGTGCTGTCCTGGGGCAGGGGGAGGGCGGGAGAAGGAGACTCACAGTGCATGTACATGTAGAGGCCAGAGGTCACTGTCAGGTCTCCATCTTTGTTTTGTTTTGTTTTGTTTTGTTTTGAGACAGGGCCTCATGTACTCTGGTTGATCTGGAGCTCACTAAGTAGATGAGGCTGGCCTTGAACTCACAGAAATCCACCTGCCTCTACCCTCAGTGCTGAAATTAAACAAATGTGCCACTGCACATTTTCTCCATCTTATTTTTTTAAAACATTTTTTATTTTATTTATTTTTGTGTATGAGTATTTTGCTTTCATTCATGTTTGTGCACTGTGTGTCTGCTTGGTACCCGAGGATCTAGAAGAGATCATTGGATCCCCAGGATCTGAGGACACTGACCTGCTAAGCCGTCTCCCCAGCCAGCCACGGCTGACTGCTTTGACTTAGCATCCACGGTTCAGATTCCCTCAAATTATACATACATCCTGTATATCAGGATGCCATGCATTTTTTGTTGCTGTGTTTCATTGTGTGGATGAACAGTGTTTTATCCACTAAGGACAGTGCTGCTATAAACAGCTTTATCCCACTTTTTTTCATACTGGCACTTGGACCTGGGTCTTCATGCATGCCGGGCAGTGCTCTACCCACCGAGCTACATCCTCGACCCTTTTCTCACCTTGTATTTTTAGACAGTCTCACTAAGATACCCAGGCTGGCAGTGAACTTGAAATCTTCCTGCTTCAGCCTCTCTAATGGCTAGGATTGTAGACCTCAACCACCAGACGATGTTGTTAGGAAGCTTTTAAAGGAAGGGTAAATATGAACAGTGAGGGCCGAGGCCTTATTCTTTTAGGCTGTTTGTCTTTCCAGAAAAACATTTGGAAGGCTGTGTGAACAGCAAGTCTGCTATGATGTCTCCCCTTTCCATTCTTGCTGTTACAGACACTGAACCCAGAAACCACTTTTTTCAAAGATTTCTTTATAATCTTTGTGTGCGTGTGCGCGTGGCACGCACGCTGGTATACACATGTGCATCTGGATGTCCTCAGAGACCAGAAGAGGATGTTGGGTTCCCCAGAGCTGGAGTTACAGGCAGTTGAGTCACCTGGTGTGGGTGCTGACAAACTCTGATCCTCTGCAAGAGCAGCCAGCGCTCTTAGTCGCTGACCTGTCGCTCTCACCCTGCCTCCCTTTTGACATCTCAATGAATGTTCTCTTCTAAAAAGGAACTTACTCATTTTAGGGTAGAATGTGATAAAATATTGTATCTTCCCCAGCCACCTTGAAGGAGCCAAACTCTGTGGTATATTTCTATTTACCAAGCTTGGAAATTTTTCAGAAATACCAAGTTAATTCTCCCAAAAAAGTAAAAAACATGTTGCTTTGAGAGACAGTCATTGACACCTTTCAAATGTCCACTTTGTCTGGAAAGTTCCTACTGCTCAGGCTATGGGAGGATGACACTTCACCTGGCACTCTTCCTGCATAAATGCCTAATGTTTCTCCAAGGAGGTGTCCCCGAGGTGGCCTGGCTTTGGCTCTGAGCATTCCAGACTGTTCTCTGAAGAAGGCCCTCCTAGGTGGCACTGCCATCACAGAAGCCCCAGGTCTTCATTCTTAAATGGCTGGCGCATGTGTTTGTTTTGAGACAGGCTGTCCCTATGTTGCTCATGCCAGCCTCCAACTCAGGATCTCCCTGCCTGCACCCCCAAGCGCTGGGCTTACCACCCCCGGCCTGACTCTAGTTCTAAATGACAGGGTATTTGCTTCACAGCCACAAAGGGGAAAGGCAGGAATGATCAAGAAACTTAAATGTTAGCTGTGGTTTGCTCTCCGGTCAGTTGGCAAGTTGGTTTTATTCTCAGCCTTTGAGTCCTGCCTGGGACTGTCCACTGCCTTCACAGGGGTCTGTGTGGAAGCTGTCTGCTGGTGACAAACGAGGACCTGGAGAAAGATCATTTTCCTCCATCTGACTTGTTTCATATGGTCATTTTTATTTTTGGTAAGGTCAAGTTAACTAAAGTAACTCATTTTTTTAGGTTAATTAAGACTAATTAGAGAGAAGCCAGGTATGGTAGCATAAACCTTTAATCCAGGTACTCAGGTAGCTGAAGCAGAAAGAAGCAAGCCTGGAGTACATCACACACATGGGTACACGCATGTGTTTGTGCACACACACACACACATAGAGATCAACCAGATTTTGAATATGATGAAATAATCCAATAACAAAACATAAACAGAATACATAGTTAAGCAAAGTTACCTAACCAAAGTTTTTCTTTTTGTGCTGGTCAGTCACTAAAAAATGCAAATGTCACAGTTTCACCTGTACAACCAGATGCTTATACCTTGAATTGTTTCTTTTGTGGGGATCAAACTCAGACCCCATACATGCTAGACAAATACTCCACCACTGAGCTCTGTCCTAGCCCTAGCCCTCGGTTTGCTTTGTATTTTGAGACAGGGCCTTGCTTTGTAGCCCAGGCTTCAAGCTTAGGATCCTCTTGTCTCAGCTTCCTGGGGAGCTGAGATACCAATGTGGCCAGCCTTTTTATTTTTATTTTTTCTTTTCCTGCTTTGAGCCAGCCTTAGACCCTGAGGCCTTTGGTGTCACCACTCCTGTTGCTCATGGGTCTGTGCTTTGAGTGGCAGGTGTGTCACAGTGTTAGCCTCCAACAGCAGCAGGAGTGGGTGAAGGGCGTTTACTCTGTCAGACAAGGCCTTGACTCACAGTGAGCCAAACAAGGGAAGCCTCCCTCAGAGGGCCGTTTGTGCTGCGCCTGAGCCATCTGCCATGTGAAGCTGTCACACTGGCAAGTTGGCAAGTGTGTACTACCATCCATGGTCACATGAGGTCATTCTGTGTCTACCTCTCCGGAGGAACATGGGGACAGTGACCTTCATACTTATACCACTCTGAACACCGCCCCGTGTGCGTGCATGCGTGCGTGCGTGCGTGTTAGGGCACAATCTCATAAATTCCTGCTAACCTCTCATCAGTAGAACAGTCAACAAGTGGGACACTCTAAGAAGAGGGGAGAAGGTGACTTCTGTTTGTTACCTCTGGTCAGAAGCCAGGAAGGAGCTCTAAGCCCCTTGTCCTCCCCGAGTCCAAGTTGAGAGTGCTAGTTGAAGGGGTGGCTTGCTGAGTCAGTGGTCCTGGGGCCACAGGCCCAGGAGTCAGAGCATCAGACCAGAGAGACGGCACCAGGGCTCTTTATGAGGACAGGCCCCACAGGGGAGCCTGGGTCTCCCTGCCCTTTGCCTGGCCTCCCAGCTGGCCGCAGCGCCTGGGCTGCATGGCAGAGCTTGTCTCTTCTTGCTTCAGAGAGCCCACTGCCCCCACATCAGGGATGACTCAGGGCCTGGCAAGCAGAAGCTGCTTTGAGCCTTTTTCTTTTTGTTCAGCCTGTGGTGGGGGAGCTCAGGCCTTGTCATATCCAGCAGGAAGACTCTGTGACCCCTTCCCTTTGGCAAGCCTCCACCACCAAATGGGAGGGACTTCCATATGTCTGGCCCCTCATTGTCTTGCTGCTCTGTGCCCCTGGTCTTCTCAGAGGGGAGCTGCCACCCTTATTCACGTGGCCTAAGTGTAGTCTGTAGGAGACACAGTTGCACTTCACTGGTGGGCAGAAAGCCTGGCATCCACAGTTCTGTTCTCAGGCTGTGTGTGTGTGTTTGTGTGTGTTACACATGTTATGCATGTGTGGACATGTAGAAGCCATAAGGTTGACTGACATTAGATATTTTGTTCTGTCACTGTCCACCTTAGTTTTTAAGACAGTGTTTCTTTCTCTCTCTCTCTCTCTCTCTCTCTCTCTCTCTCTCTCTCTCTCTCTCTTTCTCTCTCTCTCACACACACACACACACACACACACACACACACACACACACACACACACACACACACAGTGACAGTGTGTCTTCACCCAGCTTTTACATGGTGATCCAAACTCAGGTTCTCAGTGCCCAGCAAACACTTTACCAACTAAGCCGTCTTCCCAATCTTTACTAGCTTTTTGACCATGGCCAAGTTAACTTCTAAACTTTGGTTTCTTTAACTGAGTGGGGGGGGGGGATGAGATTTTCTGTACCTTCTTTGAATTAATCAAGATAAAATGTGTCAGGCATACAATCTCCCCAGTGCCTGGCACCTAGGAGGGGGTGGTGTGTGTGTGTGTGTGTGTGTGAGAGAGAGAGAGAGAGAGAGAGAGAGAGAGAGAGAGAGACTGACTGACTAGGGGACAGAACCCAGGGCTTGGCGTGCTAGGCAAGCATTCTACCACTGACGTGCACTTTCAGCCCATGGCTTTTGTGACAGTCTCACTGTGTAGCTCAGGGTAGTCTTGCACTATTGATCCTCCTGCCTCAGTCTCCCTGTTTCCACCACTTTCATTAGCAGCCCCAGCTTTTCATTTGTTTGTTTGGGTTGTTGCTGGTTGTGTTGAGTCAGAACCTCCCTATATTGCCCAGGTTAGTTCCTGTGTTCTTCTACCTCAGTGTCCTGAGTAGCCATGGCTTTTAATTTTATCAGTGTTGACAGTTTTTCTTTTCCAGCAACCCATTTGGGCAACTGCTTGTTGTCAGACTTTTAAAAACAAACAAACAAACAAACAACCTGAAGCTGCTCAAAAGCACTTGCTGTGCAAGCATGAAGAGCTGGGTTCAGATCCCCAGCATCACATAGAAGCCAGGG